TTTGGTTTAACTCTTAAGGAGATCTTAAGAGACCACTTGGCATGTGGGTTTAATGATGTAACAATGCAAAAGCGCCCACTAGCTGAAGCCCGACTAGACATCAAACAGGCACTACAACTGGCTTTATCATTGGAAACTGCAGCAAGTGGAGTATAAGAGTTGCAGGGTATTCCGATGGAAGTGGACACCCTCACCAATCCGACGGAGCTTTGGGAACACCTCTTGAGTGAAGGCAATTGCATAGCCTTACTCAGGATACATCCTGAACAACGATTCACCTAGATTGGCTCAACATTTTCTGATTAGAAAATGGCTGCTTGAGTGAAGTCCTAATTAAATACCTGGAAAGTCCAAGGAGGTCTAGGGACTATCAAAGGAGTCAAGGCCACCTTGCATGTTGACCAGGAAGCAATTCCACGATTCAGCAAAAGTAGAGACCGAAATCAGAAGGCTGGAAAACAAAGGAATCATCAAACCTGCCCAGTTTGTGGAATGGGCATTACCAGTCATACTGACGGTGAAGCCCAGTCAGTCAGTTCGCCTTTATGGGGATTTTGAACAAACAGTAAACTGCTTCTTGCAGTTAGATAAATACCCAATCCCTGACACAGAGGATTTACATGCAAAGCAGGGTGGGGTGAAGGGGATGGGGGTGCTGCAGAGGTATGCTCAACTAATACCCATAAGAGTTTGTGCCAATATAGGAGACTTCCATTTGGGGTATCTTCAGCTTTGTAATTTTTCTCCTTGGCGGGCATTCACCCTAGAAGGGAAAAGTGTGTTCTCCAGGAACACCAAGTGACCTACTTGGGCTACAGAGTCGACAAGACTGGGTTACATCCGCTGAAAGATAAAGTGAGGTGATCAAAGGTGCCCCGGTTCCCATGTCTGTACTGGGGCTTAGGTCTTTCCTTCGGATTGTGAATTATTGTGGAAAGTTCATACACCTGGCCTCCAGTCTGGCACCTTTGCATTAACATTTTATAAAAGGGTCAGCCTTGGAAATGGTCACATAGCTAAGCCATAGCCTTCAGGGAAGTGAAGAAACACCTGTCATTGTCTAAAGGTGTTAGCACACAATGATCCTGACCGAGATCTGATACTGACATGCAATGCCTCCCCACACAAGGGTAGTACTGGTTCATAGGTGGCCTAATGGAGATGAATGCCCAATAGTGTATGCATCCAGCACTTTGGCTAATAACGAGTGTAATACATCCAGATAGAGAAGGAAGGTTTGGCAGTCATATTTGGAGTCAGTAAGTTCTACCAATACCTTTACGGACATAAATTTGTAATAATAATGGACCACAAACCCTTGCTAGGTCTACTTAAAGAGGTCAAGGAAGTGTCACTGTAGCTTTAGGCCAAATTCAGTAGTAGGCTCTAATACTAAGTGCATATAATTACAAGTTGGAACACGGTCCTAGAGGCCAAGTAGCAAATGTAGGTGCACGGAGTCACTTTCCACTGGCAGGTACACCACCACTGGCAGGGTGCCACCATTGGAAAAGTCCATAATGATTTAGATTCTCTGGACACACATCCAGTCACAGCTGACAATATCAGACTTTGGACACAGAAAGATCTGGTCCTGGCAAAACTGAAATAGCTGGTGGTGATGGGGAAACCAAAGGGCCATCACAACCAGAATTGAAACCTTTGGGCACCCAGAGAGACCAGATCAGAGTAGAGGACGCAATATTATTATGGTGAGCAAGTGATTGGCCTGGTTTCCGCTAGATACTGGCTAAACTCCACCAAGGTCATCCAGGCGTTTCCAAGGCAAAGATATTAATGAGAAGTTGGGTCTGGCAGTCTGGATTGGACGCAGACATAGTCGCGTTAGTGAGGCAGTGCTCAGAGTGCCAACAAGGACAAACATTACTGCCAGCAGCTCCCCCACATTCATGGGAATGGCCAGGTAAACTCTGGGCTCAATGGTTTTAGTCATTGTGGATGCCCGCTCAAACTGTCTGGATGTACATAGAATTCATTCATCAAACACAGGGACAACGACAAAAAAAAACTGCATGCATCTTTTGCAATACCTGGGTTCCTGGAAGTGCCAGATAACAGGCCATTGTTTACCAGCAGGGAATTTGAATATTTCCTAAAGTCAAATGCTATTCATCATATAAAGATGGCTCTATACTATCCATCATTCAAAGGTCTAGCAAAGAGCAATCCAAACTTTGAAGGTAGGCTTAAAGAAACAGCCTACAGCTTTACTAGATACCAAATCTGTTCCAGTTCCTCTTTGATTATAGGACCACCCCTTACGCAACTGCAATGATAGCTCCAGCAGAGGTGCTAATGGGGAGAAAACTCCACACCAGATTAAATCTGATCTTCCTGGACCTGGGGAGTGGAGGGTGAAATGGCATCAAGAACGCCAATGCTGGACATAAAAATCTACCAAGTTTACTTCAGGGGATGAAGTTTGGTGTAGGAACCACGGGAATGGCCCTGCATGGGTAACAAGCATGGTCAACGTGAGATCAGGTCTAGTGATGTATAATGTTTGGGTAGATGCGGTGGTCCTGAACAAGCACATGGACCATATGAAACCTGCAAACTCGCAAGCGGTGCGGGAACAAAACATGTCCAGTTCCTCAACAGACTTTCCAACTGTTCTAGAACCTGTGGTTCTCCCTCTCCATCAAGAGTTGAAGATACCTCGGAATCTGAGATGGACACAGCAGATGTCACCACCCAACTACCTTTGCTGCCTAAAGAAGAGACTGAATTTCTTCCGAGATGGTCCAGGTGCAGAAGGCGAACTACTGTGCATTACTCGCTGCCCTTATCAGAGGAAATGTTGTGGGAACCTGACCTGGTGCTAAAATCCCCCAGAAAGAGCTACAAAAAAAAAAGAACCGGCCTATGTCCTCAGATTCAGAGGGGGAGGGAATGTAATGATTATAAAGAGGTCAGCCAGGTGGGCCTCAGAATAGGAGTTCCCTGATTACAGCTGTCAATCGGGTCCAGTCAGGGAGCCCTAGTTGACAGTTATAAACAGGAGCGTCAGGAATTCTGCTCACTCTCAGAGCTGGCTCTGAGGGAGCTGGATCAGTGATAAGGGCTGTCCACGTGTAAATAAATGGTGAATTCGTGACAGGAAACCGGCCTCTGTGGAGTTATTTCAGGAACCAAAGGTTATGGGGACCATGAAGAAAAGTGGAGTTGAAAATCATCAGATCAGCCATCAACTTACTGAATGGCAAAGCAGACTCAATAAGTTTAAATGGCCTATTTCTGCTCTTACATCTTATGGTCTTATTAGCATTGTTAAATCTCCAACTATCAACAACCTGGAGGGTTAGCATTGACCAGAAAATAAACTAGACCAGCCATTTAAATACTTTGGTCACAAGAGTCAGTCACAGCCTAGGGAATTTCTGGTGAGTAATTCACCTCCTGACCCTTCAAATCCTGTCCGCTATCTAGAAGTCAGAAATCAGAAGTATCCACTTGCCTGGATGAGTGCAGCTCCAAATTCATTCAAGAAATTCAATACCACTGACAACAAAGTAGCCAGTTGATTGGCACCCCAAATAAACCTTCAACGTTTAGTCCATCCACCACCGATGCACAGTAGCAACAGTGTGTTCTTTCCACTAGAGGTACTGTAACAACTCACCAGGGCTCTTAGCAACCTTCACCCTCTACCACCTAGAAAGAGAGGGGCCTGGATACACACCACCATCAACACCCGCAGATTCCCCTCCAAGCCACATGCTATTCTACTTGGAACTATATTGACACTCCTTCACTGTCACTGGATTAAAATTGTGAAATTTGCTCCCTAACATTACAATGCATGTACCCCACCAGCTGGATTTTAGCAGTTCAAGGAGGCAGCTCACCAGCACTATCTTAGGGGAGATACAGGATGGGCAATAAATGCTGACAATGCCATCAATGCTCACATCCTGTGAATGAATTTTAAAAACTTTCAGACTATTCCTCACACGTGTTTCACTGGCTGACATCTTAAAACGCAATTTAAAAAATCAGAGATAACAAGGTGTAGAGCTGGATGAACACAGCAGGCCAAGCAGCATCAGAGGAGCAGAAAAGCTGATGTTTCGGGTCTGGACCCTTCTTCTGGAGGCAACGGCGTAATGGTATTATTGCTAGACTATTAATCCAGAAACTCAGCTAATATTTTGGGGACTTGGGTTCAAATCCCGCCATGGCAGATGGTGGAATCTGAATTCAACAAAGAATCTGAAATTAAGGGTCTAATGATAACCATGAATTCATTGTCAATTGTCAGAAAAATTCATCCGATTCACTAATATCCTTTAGGGAAGGAAATCTGTCATCCATACCTGTCTGACCTACATGTGACTCCAGGCCCACAACAATGTGGTTGACACTTAACTGCCCTTTGGGCAATTAGAGATGAGCAATAAATGCTGGCCTAGCCAGAGACGCCCACCTCCCGTGAATAAATAAAAAAAGACTGGAAGGCTCAGTAGAGGCGAACTTCTTTCTTTGTAGTGTGGCACGTGCCGTTAATGTTTGTAATGCTGGACTGTTACCATGCCCATGACTTACCAATTTCTTCATTCTTATTTTTGTGATACTTTCAGCCTAAAACATATTCTATAAATTCTAAAACCCAAATCTAAAATCATTCCCTATATTAGTACCCGAATCTATAGGCCACAGTTGGTATGTCATTTCAACGTATGAATTATTGAGTTAACCTTGCATTATAATTCCAATTTAGAAAAGTTATTTTGTGAATTAAGCAACTGTCTGTTTCCCTTCCATTTGATCTATTGTTTCAGCTGCATATGAAATGAACCAAAAGCAATTTTGAATGATGTACTTTTATATCAGTTGTTACGAAGAACAGAAGCAAATTTTGTCCAGATTCACATCTGCTTTTAAAGAAGTGCCACGACAAAACAATATCTAAATCACAAGATGGCTAACTGGTCGTGTGACATCAATTTTCAACTGTTCATTACCTACTTTCAGCTTACCTTTTCCACATCAGCCTTTGTTACATTCAGGTCATTATCCATCTTTTCAAAGTGTTGTTGAGCTCGTTCGGCTTCCTTACAATCTCGCTCAAACCTTCTTTTACTCTATTGGAGAGTAGAACTTAGAATTAAATGGAGCAATCCAAGTTAAATACAGCCCTGCTAACTTTCAATGTACGCAAAGGGTTTTAAAGCTACAATTTAAATTGAAAACACTTTCCAGTTTTGACAACAGTGCATTTACCAGCCCTGTACAACATTGGTGTAAGGCATAAGAGTCTGTCAACCACATTGTGACCAACTGGTTTCTCAATTTTCTTCCACTTCTTCATTGGTTAACTTGATGTTTTTTCTCATTATTTCACTCGCTTTCTAAATTATTACTGGTTATTTTTCTCATTCATAAAATATTTAAATAAAACCATTTTCTCCAAACACATTCCAACAACAAAATGCCCAACGATATTGCAGCAAAATAAAAACTGCACTGTAATGCAGCAATCATGACAATTCACACACAGCTGCATGGAAAGTTGATTAAATTATCTTTAATTTCGGTTATTTAAGCTGTTGTAACACATTGCTTTTAGTTATTCCACCGCCACCAAATCCTTTGCAATACTAAAAAAGTGTAAAATTAAATAATGAAGGATTCTCAGTTCTTGTGCAAAAATCATTATAGAAAGTATAAATTCCTTTCCAAAACTGGAAACTGACTTTTTAAATACAAGAACTGAAAGTCTGCATCAAAATCACTTGCTCATAATCTTAGTAAGAGTGAAAACATTGTTATCAAAATCCAAGCACCTTTAGCTGGTGAGCATAGCTTGCTCTGACCAGAGGAATGAGAATCATCAGACATAATCATTAAATTAATAATGAAATGTTAAGTAACTTAAGTCGTTTCTTACATTAAGGTTTCTTACTTAAGGTTTCAGTCCCTTCTAAAAATCAAAATTTTAAAACTAACTCTTAAGCCAGTAACATAAAATAAGTACATTTTTGCCAACAATCAGGAGCAACATACTGCCTGATAATTAAGGCAGCTATATGCATTAAATGCAAAATGTGGATCAGACCTACATTCTCAAGTTGTTTCCAACAACTTTCTATATGTTGTTGCGCCCTTCTTCCTTCTTGGAAATGCTGAAAGAAAAAAACCATACATTATTATTTCTGTAAAAAATGTTCTGGTTCCAAACTAACCAATGGATAAATGAACTCCAATGATTCTAAGCTGTATCTCCTTTCAGGAGAACATAAGAGACAGAATTAATTTTAAAAACTAGTTTTAAATAATGCCAATAAGTCTATAGCACATACACTTGCAAAGAAAAACAAATGAACATTTTAGTAGCTAGATGCATTTTTTTTTGAGGTTCCAAAAGTGTTAAGGGATTAAAACCTGTTTTTCATCATTAAACCTTTGTTCATTTATTACTTTACAAATAATAGTCTGGAAATGATTGCATAATGCAAATCTGAATATATTCTATTCTCAGAATTGTCGGGTTTTGGATCTCAAACGTCAGCAAAATACATTGAGTCAAGCAACAGAGAGAAAAATTTAAAGGTAAAATTGCCACAATCTTACCACATCGTAGGATTACTCTCTCATAAATGATGACTGGTGGTGGTTTAACCTGAGGGTCACCATCCCTCAGGCAAGGGAGGGATTGAGAAGCACAGTCAAAGTAACATCAGCCATTGATAATTGGTGGGCAAATCTGTAAATGATGGATTTGGAAATGTGTGCATGTACAAACATAATAGGTATGAATATGGCAGCAGAAATAGAATACAATAGACAATATTGGACAAGGTGGCTCATAATTGTTGGCAGACCAGTCAAACTGTATGTTATTTTCTGCACTAGAATGAACTGACCATGGACTAAGCATGCTAACAATTCAATGCAGATGGCAGAAGATATTGTCCATGTCAGTTAACTTTTGGTCAAAGGTAATAACTGATTAGGTCCCAAATTGGAAATTTTCTTTCAGCATTTGAATGCACGTAGGCACAAGGCTTTCATTAAAGCTGAAGTCTCAAAGAATTGATCAAGCCTTAAGACATAATACGAGGCCATTTGAAACCAGTTTAATTCAGAGAGGCATGGTTTATTCTAAAAGAGCAGAAAGAACCAAGATAGGTTAATGGTAAAAATGGAAGAATGATAATTGTAGAACATGGTAACCAGACTGTTTGGGTACACGCTTCAAGGGCACTTAGTATGGGTTACAAATTTGTAGATTCTAAAAGAGTTATAGGAAATACTGAGGAACCAGGCACTTCTATTAATCAAATAAAAACCAAAAGAACTGCGGATGCTGCAAATCAGGAACAAAAACAAAGTTGCTGGAAAAGCTCAGCAGGTCTGGCATCATCTGTGAAGGAAAAAACAGAGTTAATGTTTAGGGTCCGGTGACCCTTCCTTAGAACTTCTGAGGAAGGGTCACTGGACCCGAAATGTTAACTCTACTTCTATTAATCATATGTCTCACAGCTATGAAGATCAGGCTGTCGCAATTGACACAATGAGGAACTGAACAGCTCTGATGATCAAAATGTGACTGTCAGTCCAAAGAACAACGACCAATAGTAGGTACCAAAGTCAAATATTTAGCAGAAGATGCTAACAAATGGAGAAATTGATTGGTTAAGTACAGTAGCAAAAGCTCTAGACATGAGAATATGACGTACAAAGACAGAGGCAAGAAAACACAGCACAAGGCCAGGTAGTGGCTCTGGAAGACAGCATGCCCCAAGAAAGATGTCATGAACCACTGAAAAAAATCCTATGAATTGGAGGAGAAGATCATGCAGTAGCAGCGCAGAAAGAGATGGGCAAGATTCAGAACATAGTCTAACAAGTTTAAAGAACCTCATACAGAGCAGGAATGCCACCAGATGAAGAGAACAGTGCGACTGGAAAGTCTTAGTAGGTATGAACAAATTACAAGAAGTTCATAAAACAAACAATAAGAAATAAAAAGCTGGACAGCATTTAAGGTTGTACACAGAAGTGTCAACCAGTGTCACCAGTTAGATGAAAATGCACAGAAAAGGAAGCCAGGGAAGTTTTAAAGAAAAACCTAGGTATGGGTGGATATTTCTACGACTGGAAAAGCAATTTGAAGTTTTGTTTGGCTTTGTTACCAACAAATACTCAGGACTGTAGATCAATTGATAATAAAGCTGGATTTCTGCAAGGTGATCGGCTTAAAGGGAAGTGATTCTTCGGTCTCCAAAAGAGGCATCAACTGCAGTGGGACAGACTGATACTTAAATAAGTGCATCAACAGCCTAAATGATCCCTCTTGAGTTTGGTACTTTCCAGTAAGGTCCCTCCTCCTCAAATTAAGTGAGTTTCAGTTGAAAGCAGACCCTGTAATGTTTTACTGGCAGCTTTTAGGCATTTTCGCGATGTGCATTTTAGGGCTTGTTTTGAAATGGGGTTGGTAAATTTGAAAATATAGTCATAAATGGGCTTAAAGCAAAATTCAAAAATGGAAGTCAGGCTTCTACAGCTTTTCAGTACCTTGGATGGTTATCAGGCAGAATACATTTGAGTGCTCCCTTACATCATTCTTATTTGGAAAACGTTAGTCCCATTACAATAAGTCAAAGTAGCAGAAGATTCAGTGGCTTCCAAAACAAAGCATATTAACAGTAGAAATGCTTGTTCTTATTGATGGTGCTTTTCTAAATATATTCAAAATTATTTGAAGAAATTCTAAAAAGAAGATTCAGTAGCAACTCCAATTGCTGCACTGTTAATGTGTCACTGTGGGCACAATGGTTAATAAACACTCAAGAAAATGAATGAATGAAAAAAGACTGAAGATTGATATCGCATTTTAAAACTGATAGAAACACAAAAAATAAGAGAAGTAGGCAATTTGGCCTTTGAGCCGCTCTGCCATTCAATTTCATCATGGCTGATCATCCAATTCAGTACTCCGTTTCCACTTTCTCCCCTTATCCGTTGATCCCTTTAGCTCTACGAACTATATTTAATGTCTTTTTTTTGTTGAAAGCACTTTGCCTCAAAAAGCAATTGAAGCCGAGAATTCCACTGGCTCATCACTCTTTAGGGGAAGAAATTTCTTTTTATCTCAATCCTTTATGGCCTTCACATAGGTCCATAGGCTATTATCCTGGTTTTGGACTCCCTGGTCATCAGAACATCCTTCCTACATTTGCCCTCTCTAGTCCTATTAGCATTTTATAGGTTTCTAGGAGATTCTGAAGAATCTCCTAGATTTCATTCTTCTGAAAAAAGAATCAAAAACTAGTTTTAAATAATGCCAATAAATCCATAGCACATACACTTGCAAAGAAAAACTAATGAACATTTTAGTAGCTAGATGCATTTTTTTGAGGTTCCAAAAGTGTTAAAGGGATTAAAACCTGTTTTTCATCATTAAACCTTTGTTCATTTATTACATTACAAATAATAGTTTGGAAATGATTGCATAATGCAAATCTGAATATATTCTATTCTCAAAATTGTCAGGTTTTGGATCTCAAATGTCAGCAAAATACATTGAGCCATGCAACAGAGAGAAAAATTTTAAAAATTTCATTCTTCTGAACTCCAGTGAACATAGACCAAACTGATCCAGTCTCACTTCATATGTCAGTCTGGTAAACCTTTGGTACATTCCCTCAAAAGCCAGAACACCCTTCCTCTACTGAAATCTAATGTAAAAGGCAGCGATTTCCTAAACTGATGTTGTATATGTAATAATTGTGAAATAATAATAGTGCAAAAGTGATAAAGTCAGCCTTTAAATGTTTCAACCTTGAAAGTATGATGGCAGGGCTCTCACTGTAAATGACCATTAGACAATAATGAACATTAAAAAGTACAATAAGTAGTCAGGCTTTTAAGTATAACTATCATTATAACAAGGCTCACTGATAGAAGGATACTTGGTGGCAAAACTACTGGACCTTGTCTCCTGACTCTAATGCAAAGCTATGGAACATTGCTCCAATGTGAACTTCATTATAATGTGCAGCTTACTTGAGTTATGGAACATCATCGCTCTTTTACACATTTTGTTCCTCCTTTAAATTTTTTTCTTTGCCAATTGTTCCGTTGACTAATGGTTACTGGCATACAGTGCAACTAATGGCAGGCAACAGCATTTCCAAATAGTTACTCTTCAACTGTGAGCCATGACACATATCTTTTGGACAGGACAATAGGGCAGCATAACCAAATCAAATGCTACCTCCAGATGTCACTTATTCAAAGAATCACAAGGGAAGAGCCCACGTTTTAGAAAAATGTGAATATCAATTAAGACCATCTATAGAATGCTCAAAACAGATTGGGTTTTGATATTATATGTCATCTATTAAAGTTTAAATCTGTAAGGAGTTGATAATGGTTTGGAGTTGAATTGCCTCAATGGATACTTTGGTTTTGTTTTTGTTAATTTGAAATTTAGCTTTAGATTTTGACACAGCACTCAATTAGGCTAAAATCTAATCCTATCACTTCATGACAAATTGTATTCCATTCTTGTGTGCTTACGCATGTTCAACTGGCGTTGGAAAAATATCAGAGAAAGAGTAAGATTAAGTACTTTTGTTTGTTTTATTTGGCTTTTAATTTCAGTGTGAGATGCTAAGAGTTGTGTCCAAGCAAGCTACACATAATTCTGATCAACCAACTCCCTTACTTAATGTTCAGGCTAGAGCTCAAGCATGTGATCATTCTGAGAAACTACTTCCTCCTGCTGGAGCCATTTTATTATCAGCCTAGTGCACAGAAACGAAATAAAACTTCCCTCTTTCTGGATGAGAGCACAAATTGCTAGAAACGTACAGCAGTTCATGGCATGTTTGAAAGAGAACGGCAGATTAACATTTCGTGTAGAGTTTTCCATATCATTGCACGTTAACTTTTTAGGTTTAATATTTCATAATTTCAAGACGTTTTAATTACTTGTATTTCAAACTTGTCTTCTGTTGCATCCACATCATAATTGACAGATAAAATATTTTAAGCTGCAGATGCACCAGATACATGCAAAAGCCAAATTTTTTTTATCTGTGTACAAATACCATGTATTGGTTCAGCACAGTCTTTTTAAAACTATATTTTTCTGCATAGTAAAGAAAGAAGCTTT